TTATAATTTGTTCGTTATTTATGTAAGTGTTTATAAAGCGGTATCTTTTGTTCTTTTCTTACCTATACAAAATATCATTCCAAATGAACATTTTTTGAATATATATACTTACAAGTGAATTTTTTATGATATAGTTAGATAAGACAGATTTCAATTCCTTAGTTAAAAAGGCTGATCTAACATTACACATTACGATTTTCTAAGTTATTAGTAAGGGTATACTGCAAAAACCATCTGACTAGTGTCTCCTATCTAAGTACTAGTAAAATAGACTATCACTTTTTCAGAGATCAAAGTAAAGATCCTGCAAATGTTGCTGTTTCTAGCGAATTCCCTTTCGTGGTATCACGTCTCAATCTCAGTACTTATTGTTGTATATTGCAAGTATGAGATAGTTTAGTTGGCGCCGTGACGCTAACTTCATCCTGGAAGCTAGAGGCTCATAGCCTCGACAGACAGTGCTTATTGGCTGAAAAAGCCGACTAACTGCTTTTTCGACGCCTGTACAAAGTCTGTGCTGAACAACCTGAGTCTGACCCTAGCACTCCTCACAGATTCTTACTTCTAATCCAAGAAATCTAGCCTAATACCAAGAGCATCTGCAAAAAACGGCTAAAGAACCATCACTTCCCACCGCATAAATATGCGGATCTTCATTGTCAAACACACTTTTACCATTTTGATACATCGAAACTCAAACATCTTAGTACATGTCAACCTTAACTTTCAAAAACCTAACTGTGCCGCATTTGAATCATGGGTTTATCACCCGATTACAGGTTTCGTGGCCTTCTAAGTTCGGTTACGGTACGACCAAAGGGATGCATTCAAACAAGCAGCGTATTGAAGAAAAGTGTAAAAATTCTAAATGAACTTGGACCAACCTCATTTGCCGCCGTCTGAATGCTTGGAGACGGTGCGTCCTGTCCGCTGGCTGACGTCATCGCCATCGGTTCCGCCTCCGCCGACGCCTTCACCATGGCGTCTTCGCCGGCGGCTTTCGTTGGTGCAATTCTGCGTACTGTTGCTGTCTTGACGCTTCTGTTGATCACTTCAGATGCGGATTTTTTGAGCTGTAACACTTTCGCGGAATCCACTGAAACGGAGATTCGTCTACTATGCGACTTCTGGAGTGAGGGTGTGATTCTCGAGTGTAATGAATTGGTGGACTTTTGTTGGAGCAGATGCGATTGAATGAGCAGCGATGGCGCTGTCGAAACGCGCTGCATGTACTTCGAGCCC